GGTTGTTTGAGGATCTGTTCCTCAGGGGTCACATGGGCTTGGGAGGAGCCCCTGGCTCCTTTCTTTTACCAGCTCTGACTATGTGAAGATAAGTCAAAGGTCCTACTTGACCATGGCTGGCTTCGCTTGAAAGCATGGAGGAAATGTTTACTCTGTGTTGACCCTCCTCTTTGTAGACTGGACACTGGTTCAGGTCCATCTGGTGAGGTCTCCTCGGCCTCCTTGATCAAGAGGACAGGTGACTCACCACAGTTACAGGACATTTTGAGAGATTCTCGTAGTCCCCTGGAACTTAGTCGACTTAGGAGGGAAAGGAGCAAATACTGTCCTCTATTTCCCTCTGTCCAAATTAGTATAGCCTCATAGTATGGCTGTTAAACTTCCAAGAAGGTTAGTTCTACCAGTCTGGTACTTTTAATTACCATGTGACATGTAGATAGAGCTTGGGCAAAGACCAAATGCTCTCAGATAAACCTTGCCTAGACATATATTACACTCTTTGATCTAGTTGTATGTATAATTTGTCAGTAGGTTGTTGGCCTAACATGGTCCCCTCTGGTTTTCTAAAACTAGCTAGGCATTATTTCTCTCTCACATTGTCTAACCCTTCCACCATGGTTTCCCACTAAAGGTGCCCCCATTTTTCCCATTTCTCCCTTAATAACACCCTTCTCCTATGGTCCCACCTCTCTTGAGCTCCTTCTTTCCCTTTATCCCCTAGGTTCCTTGTATAACCTTCCTTCTCCCCTCCCCTTAAAATACACCCATTTTTATCCATATCTCCCTTACTAAGGCCTGTTTTCTACTGTTCTTTTCTTTCAGATTATTTCTTTTCCTTTACCTCCTTGGTTCCTTTTCATTATCCTGGTTCCTGGAGTTATGTCTGAATACTCACTTATAAGGTTTGGTGCATATGAGTGAGAACACATGTCATTTTTTTTTCCCCGAGTCTGTGTTATTTCACTTAGTATAACAGTTTCCAGTTCCATCCATTTACCTGCAAATTTCATGATTTCATCTTTCTTTACTGCTGAGTAAAACTCCATTGTATAATTAGACCACATTTTCATTATCTACTTGTCAGTTGAGGGACACTTAGGTTGCTTGTAGGGGTGTGTGTGTGTGTGTGTGTGTGTGTGTGTGTGATTGTATTCCACATGTATGCAGGTACCTGCAGAGACCAGAAGAAGGCAATGGATCCCCTGTAGCAGAGTTACAAGTGCTCGTGAGCTACCTCATGTGGGTTCTGGGAACTGAACTCAGGTCCTTTGGAAAAGCAGCAAGTGCTCTTAACTGCTGAACCATGTCTCCAGCCCCTGGGTTTGCCACTTTCACCCAGGGTAGTAAGGAAGTTAGAGACTCTCACTGTTGGCTTACGCCTTCCAGAAGTGGTCACTACATGTGGTTGAATGCCATCCCTCCTGACCCTCTGTGGCATTCTGTCTGAACTCTTGGGTCCCTGCCTACCTCTTAGCTCTTCAGCAGCAAAGCATGAGGAAAGGACCAGGCTATGGTATCTCACAGATGGGAATGAATGCCCTACTTTGCTGATCACCAGCTGTATGGTCCTGAGCAAGCAGCTTTCACTTTCAGATTCTCAACTACCTCATCTATTAATTATACTCCACAGTGAGGAAAAACCATTCAGCATATGCCTGGAACATAGTAGATAGCCTGTCAATGGTAGTTTAAAAAAATTTTTTATTGGGGCTGGAGAGATGGCTCAGCAGTTTAGAACACTGGTTGTTTTAGCAGAAGACCCAGGTTTGAATCCCAGCACCCACATGGCAGCTGACAACTATCCATAACTCCAGTCCCAGGGGATCCGACAGCCTCTTCTGACCTCCTCAGGCATTGCACCACACGGGTGCACTTACTTACATGCAGGCAATACACATAAAATAAATAATAAATAAATTTTTTATTGATTGTGTGTGTATATATTCATGCATATGCACACCACAGTGCATGTATGGAGGTCACAGGACAAATTGTGTGAGTCATTTCTTTCCTTCCACCATGTGGGTCCTGAGGATTGAACTCAAGTTGTCAGGTTTAGCAGCAAGCACCTTTACCCAATAAGTCATCTCACCAGCCCAGAAATGGTAGCTGTTAGTGGAGAGACATGAACAATACACTTGATGTCAACCTCTAGTTCGTATACACATACAAGTACACACATATATGCATTCACAGGTGAGTGCACTCACCCACACATATGCATATACTATACACACACATACACACACACACACACACACACACACACACACACCTAGATTTTATGTCTTCAAACCAACTCTTAAACAGCAGGACTTGTATTTTATGTATCTATTTTTTTTCTCAAAAAGTCTTTTTGAGACAGGGTCTGCCTGTAGCCCCAGCTGTTCTGGATTCACTATGGAGACTAGGCTGGTCTCAAACTAACAGAGATCCGCCTGCCTCTGCCTCCCGAGTGCTGGGATTAAAGGCCTGCGCCACCCCGCCAGGGGCTGTATCTATCTTTTACTCACCCCCAGCAGCCATAAACAGTGTGAACTGGTCTGCATGGGATATGTGTAAATATTTGCTGAAGATGAATGGATATGAAAACTGACCATGATGGCTAGAGGATACATCTGAGTCACTGATATCACATTTTGAGTGATGAGGGTGCTATCTACCATTTGACAGCTGATAACAGACGTTATCAGAAGTGATAAGGGAACAGCATCTGTGGAATGTCAGCATGCCAGGCTCTTGAGCAGGTGGCACTCTCTCGCTAAAGTCACACAGAGCAGGCAGCCACTTTGGATTTATCAGCAGACTTCTCCATCCTGAGAGAGTGATAGAGCCTTGAAGTAAGCCTTCCATCAGTGCCCAGCCAATTGGTGTCCAGGAAAGACCAACAGGTTATCAGGACTGAGGTCTGAGAAACAGCTACCTAGCTCACAGTTTGTTGGAAAAACCAGCAGCCAAAGGGAGGGCAAGCAGCACAGATTTGGGACATGATCTAGGGGTGTGGCAAGGCTCCTTTGCTCTCCCCATTCTCCATCTATTTTCTTTCTGTATCTTGGATCAGCAATCACAGGGCTATGTGACTTCCCTGCCACCCAGACAGCTGTAGGTCTTTTCAGACTGGAATTGAGCCCCGTCTGTGGACATTCCTAGACACTGTTAAAGGTATCTAGATTGTTACTCTAAACACCAAAAAAACCTGATTTTAGCCCTTATCTAAGTTCCTTAAGCCCTCAAACAAAATCTGTTTCTGGGCCCCTTGCTATCAATGTATGTAGATAGAACATCTTTCTCTTGCTATCTATTGTGGGAATGATAGGCTAGAAAAGACAGGTGAGAAAGACAAGAAAACACATGGAGTCGTGGGAAGGAAAGCATGGAAAAAAGGTCCTTCACTCTGGGATCTGGTTTGCCTCTTCTGCTATGGAGTAAGGAAACTTCAGGTATCAATGAGAAAGCCGAAATTGCCCACTGAGATAATGCGTGCTTTCCTAAAGACTTCCCAATCAAATACATCAAAGATAATAAATGACCTATATATACTTAAGGACCAAAGTGATCTATAACTTTGAATTTTTAGCACTTCCTTTTCTTTCCTAAACTGAAATGATACCCTTCATAAATTCATCTTACAACTTTAATTACAAAAGAAAACTCTATCACCTTGTAAATTATAGTCTGAGTGACTTAATTTGGGAGCCACCCCAATCTTACACATGCCTGTGATCAAGGCACTTTAGGGTGACTCTCCTTTGAGAAGCCCACGTGTGGGTGTGTCTTATCTTTCCTGAGTGCCTTTTTTCCTTAAACCTTATACTTAAAATCTGTATTATCTCTTTTAATAAATCTTCAACTGTGTTTCATTCCCTTCTGTGCCAAAGTCATGAATCGTGGTTTTGTTATTCCCTCAGAGGAAACGGAGGCTGCTGCAGGCCACAGACAAGAGTTATGCCTCTGTCCCTGCTGCTGCTCACAGAAGCACTGTAGCCCACTCTGTAATAAACCCCCTAGTAAATGCTGATCATTCTGGCGTCAAGCACTTCTTTCTTTGGAATCCTTTGAACAAGTGGTTTGGGGGAGAGTCATCCTACCAATCATTTGACTGTTTGCTGTCAGGTCTCCAACCTTTATCAGAGAGAACTCTGTGGCCTTAATGTCTCTACCTTCTGTGTCCCAGTGAGACTCTGACAGACTAAAGTTCTAGTGGGAGACTGGGAAATAGGATTAGAGAAGCCAGTTCTACTCATGGAGTCAGAGACAATGAATTGTGGACCCTTTGGTGCCCCTTTGAACATGGTCTTAGTTTCTGCTAATCAGGTCCAGTGTAACTCTGGCTTCTTCTGGCAGGCCCTTGACTGTGGCAATCTTGAATCCTCCCTGGGTTCCCTAACCTCATTGTGGCAGAAAATGTCTGCCATTGACTCACAACATGGCCAACTAACTGTTCATAACTCTAGTTCCAGGGTACCTAACACTCTCTTCTAGCCTCTGTGGGTAGTGCACAATATGGGTGTACTTACATACATGTAGACAAAACACCCATACACACTAAAGTACAACTAAATAAATCTTTTAAAATTATATTTATTTTTATTTTATGTGTATGAGTGTTTTGCGTATATGTATGTGCATCATGTGTGTTCAGTACTTGTGGAGGCCAGAAGAGGGTGTTGGATCCCCTGCAGCAGGAGTTACAGATGGTTGTTAGCCACCATATGGGTACTGGGAACTGAACCCAGGTCCTCTGCAAGAGCAGTCAGTGTGCTCAGTTGCCGTCTCTCCAGCCTCCCCTCCCCTTGGCTCCTGACCCACCTGCCAGCTGGGCACCTAATCCAAGCGACATTTTACTCTATTAACATATCTGGAGTCTTCGATCCTGCCATCTAGACTCTGAATCAGATGGTTCTCTAAAATAAAATCCATTGCTTCTTGACCCTTTGGCTCAGGTCACCTGTAGTACCTGTTCTTATCAGTTTAATATCTGATATATCTTCTATCCTACAAGAAAGTCCAGGAGGAGGGTGACTATGGTCAGGTCTATCACTAGAGGTCCACTGTGGCTTAAGTCATGGTTGGTTCTTTGCAGATTCCTTTCTCAGCAACGAAGCTTTGCCTTGTAAGGGAGATGGAACTGGGTGCCTGTGCATGCTGAGGAAGTTCTCTACTATGGAGCTCTACATCCCCCCCGCCCCCATTTGCCTGGTAGCTTTGAATGTAATTCTTAGATGCCACCTTCCAGGAGGCCTGTAGTAGTAGCAGCAGCAGCAGCAATAACAACAAGCCTCCATGCACCACATGCTGTGCCAGGCACTGGTCCAAATGTTTCACATAGGCTAACATGGTGCTCACAACCACCCTGGGAAGCAGTTCTGCTGTATCTGTTTTACAGACGAGCAAATCAAAGCACAAAGAAATAGCACCTGCAAAATCAAAGGGTTGGTAAAAGGTTGCATTATAGTTTGACTCTGATGCTCTGCTTGGAGCCTGCCTCTTAACCAGGACACCTGACTCCCTTATCAGCTGATGTCTGCAGACTTGTGCTTTCTGCATCTTTATTTGAATACTGGTGGAAATTGGAAATCTATCCAGGTGATAGACACACACCCCCTCTGGAATACCAAAGACCAGTTCTCAGTGGGATCCCCTAGAGTTCCTATACTGGATGGAGACACCCTGAAATTCTGTTTGGGGCTTTCCTCAAGCAGTTTCTAGCTGTGAGGCAGAACTTCTCTCTAATAAACCCTGAGTTATAAAAAGAGGATTAAAGCTTTATCTGCAAAAACCATTTGTGGCTCAAAACATTCACCACGCTTGCAAGAAATGTGGCAGAGAATTCTGCGAATATTGCACACAGACCATGCCAAACCTTCACCCAGCATTCCAGTTAGCAGAATCCCAATAAAATGAGAAAATGATCACGGACTAAGATGATGCCTAATTAAGGCTAAATTTAGCCAATGCTGATTTTTTTCAGAGTTGTCATGAAAACCATTTCAACTCAGACAATAATGGCAAGCTAGGATAATGCGGGAAGGGATTTCATTTAAAACGTAGGATGCCATCAATATAATAATTAAGATTGTTTTATGAAAAGCATGATACAAAAGCCAAGTAAAGTGGACAGTTCTTTGGTTGACATTTTGTCATTTCGCTGTGATATTCTGGCTGTCTGACTATAGGTAAAAGAGGAAAGGAAGGCAAGTACCAGGGGATTCTGTGATTGTCTTGCTGTTTCTGGTGGCTCTCAATCGGGCTGCAGAGCGGTGGAGAGGAGGGGGTCCTAATTTCAAGGCGGGGCAGGCACTGGTCTTCCTGACCACTCTGTCATAGGCCTAGGAGTCACACCACAGGCCAGGCTATAAGTGAAATCCCAACAGAGAAAGAAACTTCTGGGGCAGCTAGCAGGTCATGCATGTGTACTTCAGAACTGAGCAGTTCTTTGCTCTAAAGTTCGGCTTTCTCTTCAGTTACTACATGTCTCTGAGGGAAAAAAAAATCAGGAAACATCTATGATGTTTCCAGTGTCTGGGAATGAAAGTAGAGAGCAAACAGAAGTAGAGAGAGACCAAGACGCAAGGTACATAAATGGTTGACAGAAACAATATGATTCTGGCATCCACACACAGGTGGTGGAGAAGGCCTGTGGCTGCAGTTAACTGTCTGCCTCTCTATGCTCTCAAGCCAGGAAGTAACACACAAGCCTAAGCACTAATTATCCGGACACAGCTCTACCTCAGAGACACAAGAATATACTTGAATTTCTCCTAGCATCTCCCCATTCTTAAGAAGACACTTGAATTATTTTTTAGCTAATATTGCAAAACTAGGAACTACATATACATAACAGTATCCCCATTTTACAGATTGAGACCAAGATTCCAGGATGTTGAGTCACTTGTTCAGAAATCATAAGGCATTAAGTAGTACATTTGAGACTTACATCAAAGGCTGCCAGACTACAGTCCAACACTGCCTCCTAGCTATCTCACCCAGCCAAGTATCAAAATGTACATGGACTGTACATCCTGACTGCAGGACGTCTATTTTGAAGTTTAAAAAATTTACTATTACATTAGTTATTTAAGCAGAAGGCAGTTCCCACTCTACTTGTACGGTAGTCAGAGGACAGCCCTCAGGAATTGGTTCTTTCCTTTGACCATGTGGGTCCTGGGGATCAAACTCAGGTTGTCAGCCATGACAGCAAATGCCTTAACCCACTAGGCCATCTGGCCTGCTGTGTGGATGATTTTTTAAATACGGTTTTTAAAGATGCAAACCACTAGTGTGCACAGTGGCTCATGTCTGTAATATCTGCATTTAAGAGGCTGAGGCAGGACGACTGCCTCTATTTTGAAGCCAGCTTGGGTTACAAAGTGAGTTCTAGCCCAGTCTGGGCTACAGTGTGAGACCCTGTCTCAATAAATAAATAAATAAATAAATGAATAAATAAATAAATAAATAAATAAATAAATAAATGAAGGTGCCAGGTGTGGTGGTACACGCCTTTGATCCCAGCACTCAGGAGGTAGAGGTAGGTGGATCTCTGTGAATTCAAGGCCAGCCTGGTCTACACAGTGAGTTCCAAACCAGCTGGGGCTATAGGGAGATCTTGTCTAAAAAAAGAAAAAGAAAGAAATGCAAAATGATTGTTTCAACTTAAAAAATGGAAAAGGACAAAAGATATTTCTAGTAACTCTGACATCACAATTACTTGAAAGAAACATGAGTCCAGAATGCTCTCAGGAGGAATAATATACACACACCCAATGAATTCAAGTTTCTTCAATACTCAGAGAATTAGATCCAACAAGGACAGCGTGAACTTAACATGTATATTCATATGTGTTTAAAATCTATCTTACTATCCAGAGAAGCATGGCTACAGTCTTTGCCTTTCCCTGACCTCTAAAGGGAATCCACTCTGCTAATTCTGTCATCCTCCTACCCCTTCCTGCCCAAGCTCTCTGGCTCTGGTTCTCAAAGCCTGGTCCAAGGAAAAAAGCTGTGTAGATAGGGCAGGCCTGAAAAGTACATCAAGCAATAACTCTCTCTTCATGACACAATCGGACTTAGGTCATTTAAGTAATTTAATGTAGAATCAGAAAATAAAACAACCCAAGAAAGCTAATAAAAAACAGGTGCCCAAATAGTTTTACCACTTCAATGCTAAAGATGGTGTTTTCTAAATCTGTTTCAATATCTCCCTTCCCACATGCCTTTCTTACCAAGTGACTTTGGCATTACTTCCCATTGAATGACAGGTCTGCATTTATTCCCATGGAGTTCAGGCAGGCTTGTGATAACAGTGAAGAGGATATTATGTGACTTGTGGGACTTAGAAAAATGTAAGGCACTATAGCTCTGCAGTACTGTTCTGGGACACTAGTTCTTAGATCCCAGGCATCATGCTTTGAGCAAGCCTGCACTGGGGTCTCTGCAACCATCAGCAGCATGTACCAGACAAGGTATGAGGCTGTAGATAATTCACCATCTCAGCTACTATCACCTGTAGCCTTCCGAGAGTACATCCACATATTAAGGGTGAGTGATAAGCTTTTCCCTCTGTACCCTGTCATGACCCACAGAATACTGTGTCTAGTAAAACAGTCGTTTTCTGTTGTAAGTTCGTGGTGGCTGGCTACATCACAACAGCAATATAAGTCAATGGTAAATACCTTATCTCACTATTCCCACTTTTTAAGATATATGCCTTTTTGTGCTTCTTCCCTTGCACTCTGATAGTAATTGTATCTGCCTTCATTAAAGCAAGGTAGTTTTATTCCAATAGAAATTACAGTTCTTTTCATCTGACACCAGCTTTGAGGTTAGCAAAGATGGAGACTCTGAATTATTCTGTTCCCCTGAAGCAATTTATTTATGGACGGATGAATGGATGGATGAACGGATGAGTGAATGAAAGAATGGAGGAATGAATGAAAGGACAAATGAATGATGGATGAATAGATGAATGAATTTTAAAAATGAAAGAGGCTAAAACATCACACTCTTGACCTCAGTCTCATCTTTCCAAATATGGAGGAAGCTTGATAGGTTTTAAAGCTACCATATTTCTGAAAGGTTATAATTTATGAATCAATATTCATGCCACCAATACCTCTTCCTATCCACCAAGGGAAGAGAGACTTAGCTAGGAACATGGAAATCAAGGCAAGACACCTCACAGTTTCTGTGGCAGATCCTGTCTGTGCCCTTCTAGATGACTTTGAACTCTTAGGGTCCTCCAAGCCCATGTCTACCATGTCCTGGTTGATGAACCAGCAATTTATCACTATTGCTTCAGGCTCTTGAGCAGGATAGGACAGAAGTGGTGGGGGAGATTTGAGGGGGGGTGAACACTTCCCAGAATGCTTGAGGTCCTGGGTATGATTTCTAGCATCACATAGAAAAAGAAAAAGTGTAGCAGAGTTAAAGCCCTGGGAAAAGCTCTGCTCCATGGTGGATGTGAGCTAGAAGATAAATATCCTTAGTTTCTTCTTTCTGCACATGGAGGACTCTGAGGCTGGTTATACACTCACTACCTTCCAGAATTCCCATGGAGAAGGAACCTAATGGCCCTGCCCTCTGTGGCAGCCTTCTCAGTAACTCAGCTTTGTTTCCCAGTCTGCCACCCCTGATTCCCTTCTGATCTCTTCAGATCACCGTTGAAATAAACCACTGGCACTAAATGCTCTCCTCACTGTCTGTTTTGGGGGAAGAATTAAAGTAGAAGGGACAGAACAATTTTTATTGACAAACAAGACAAGATGAACACAGAAAGGAACAGTTCATCCAGCAGGTTCAATTCCTTCCAATAAAGCTTAGACAAATGACTCCAACACTGATCTCCATGTGGTATTGGTTAAAGATAATCAACTCAAGGTTCAGGCCAAAATAGAGCAGAAAGGGCTTATTTGCAAATTCATCACCAAGCTTTTGGCTGCAAGTGACAAAACTGAAAAAGTACAGAGGAGTTAAAGCAGATTGGCTCAGGTAAAATGGAATTTGCTAGTTTGTCTAGCTGAAGTACTACAGAAAAAGAAATGTCTTCAAGCACTGGTGGGCTCATACCAGACAGCACACACTAGGAGTCTTTACTACTATGCTCTGCTTTTCTCCT